CCCGTTGCCAAAGATTCTGACTCATTGTGACCCTACAGGACAGAGTAGAACTGCCCTGTAAGGTTTCCCAGACTGTAATCTTTACAGAAGCTGACTCCCACATCTTTCTTCCGACGGGAGGTTGGTGGGTTCGAACTGCCAACCTTTCCGTTAGCAGCTGAGCGCTTATTTACCATGTTCCACACACTACCCTAATCTATTTACAAATATTAACTTTATTTCCTTTCATTTCACAGGCGAGTCAGTCTTATGTAATCACTCGGTTGCATGTCCACGTCTCCGTCTAGACTCTAGAGATTCCAGAAGACAGAGATTGAAGATTAAAGCACAAATTTAATATTCTTGCCTCCATCAGAACCATCTTCCCTTTGTGGTACCAAGGAACCGGACAGACTCAGGAAAGAATGGGTGGTAAGAATTAGAACTGGAGAACTAGGAAGTCCATTCCAGCCCTAACCGTTTGTGTTAGGAGGACCATCTGACTCTCAGATGCCTGGAGCTGCTCCGCACAGAAATTCCTGCTGGGATTTCTCCCTCTCGCACCTAGTCGGGCTAGCATTTCGGGTCCCGACTTTGCGTAACATACATAGTCACCAAGACGCAACAACCTCCAGAGTTCCTAGAGAGTCTAAGAAAGCGCGTAGAGGGGTGAATTGCTCGGCTTCCGCAACTCAGCTCAAAACAGCTGACGCACTTCCGGGCTTTGTGGTTTCTTGGTTGTCCGGGTATTGCTACTCCACCACCGGATCTGGGGCATCCTCTGAAGGTGAGTCTCTGGCCTTTCGTCCGGACCCGCAGGGCTCCCGGGAAATTTAAGGTCCGTGCCTTTAGGCAGACGGGGAATACACGTCTGCGCAGCCGCGGCTCCCGGATGCTTTCGCCCAGCACCTTCACGCGCTAGCAACCCCAGTTAAGGAGCGGAAGGAAGTCTCGTGCACACCCCTGCTGGCGTCGTAGCCTACGACTCTCCTATGACTCGTAGGAGAGACCCCCGGAGGGGCAGGGCTTTGTAGCCGGACAGAAGGTGGGGAGGTGGAGGAGGGATGTCCGGCTGCGGTTCCCGCTCCATTTCAAAGGTCATCTACCGTCTAGGGTCGAGGCTACCTTCTGGATGATTTAGAGGCAGTTTGGCGTAGTCTCTTCTTTGTCATTAAAAACAACCTTTTTGTACCTTGGAAACCTTCAAAACACGGGAAACGAAGGAGAATAGTATAACGAACCCCCATATACCCATCACTTTCTTTAACAATTGTTAGTGTTAAAAAATAACAGTTTATTCAAAGATTTGCAAATTGGCAAGAGCAAAATGAACGTTCAAAATGGTGGTCAGACGAGGGAGCATAAGCGTAGGTCTTTTATATGTAGTTTTGCAGAACTTTGTAAGAGTTGGGAATAGTGGGAGGAGGTATATTTGATTGGTTGACATTCAACGCGCTTTGGTAAAACTTACTTATCAAGAATTTCTATTGGCAGGAGTATTCAATCTTAGCCAGTTTACTGCGTTGCAGAGCTGGTTCCTTCTGTGTCCTGCAAGTTCTGGGTAGGCCACCTCAGAATGTTGCAGAACAGGTTGTCTCAGTCAAAAATGTGTTCATGGGTCAGATACTCTAAAAAGCAGAAGCAGGGGCCTAGGACAAAATGCAGTCAAATTCAGGCCTGTGTCAGCCATTTTAGTTATGTCAAGTGCTGAGCCCTGGTTGAGCAGTGGTTAAGAACTACAGGCGAGATACGGCCACTAACCAAAAGGATGGCAGTTCGAATCCACCAGGCGCTTCTTGGAAACTATGGGGCAGTTCTACTTTGTCTTATTGGGTCGCTATAGGGTCACTATACAATGGTTGTTTTTTTGGTATTTCATATTAGCATAATGCAGTTTTTGTAGCATTTCTTTTAAGTATTTTAAAATAAATTACAAACATGACTTGTCAACCCTAAATAGTCCCATCCACAGCTCTAAAAGGCATAGCCACAATATCCTTAGCACCCCCAATTAAATGTAGGATCATCCCTAATATCTTCTAACACCTAGTTCATATTCAGATTTCCCTCAGCTGCCCCACAGATGTCTTTTGCTGTTGGTTTGTCAATCAAGGACCATTATTGTATGTGGTTAAATCTCTTTTAATCTATAACAGCCCCATCCTCCCCCTGCTGTCCACTTATCTCATTGCCTTGTTGAAAAGGAGACCCCACCACTCCTGTAGAGTACCCCATTTCTATTTCCTCCCCATTGCAATTAGTTATACTCTGGGATTTATTTTACAACACATGTGGTTTGTGATTTTCGTTATCGTGTTGGTGTTGCTAAATATGTTGAAGCTAGTGAGAACATATACTTTTATTCTCTTTCTGCCATGTTTTCAGTTCAATAACGGAAGATGGGGACACAGCAAACCATGTAGTTTCACTCTTATCATGTGTGTGCGGCCTGACATATAATAGGTACTTAGTAAATATTTGTGAAATGAATTCCTTTGTGGGTTTCAGGTAATGTGTGGAAACTGAATATGGAATTTTGGATGAGTGCTCCTACTTTTTCCAGCAGTACCTATTTTTATGCAAATAACCTGCACCTTAAATGGTTGCAACCGCTCCCACCTCCACAGGATTTTTTGTAAGAGTGCTATGCTAATTTTTTTTTTTTTTTACAGCAACATGTTTAAAAAACAATGGTGTAGCTGCGCTTAGCAAAATACCTGGGGGGTGGGGGGGGGCTGTGGAAGGGAGCGGTTGGCAAACAAATGTAGAAGGCAAGCGTTATTTGCATTAAAATGCAGTATGCCTTGTGCTATTGTTGTTAGGTGACTTACAGTTGGTTCCTACTCATAGCGACCCTATATACAACAGAACAGAAAGAAACACTGCCCAGTCCTGTGCCACCTCACAATCAATGCCTATGTTTGAGCCCATTGTTGCAGCCACTGTGTCAATCCATCTCGTTGAGGGTCCTCTTTTTTGCTGACTGTCTACCAAGCATGATGTCCTTTTCCAGGGACTGCTCCCTCCTGATAACATGTCCAAAGTATGTGAGACAAAGTCCTGCCATCCTTGCTTCTAATGAGCATTCTGGCTGTACCTCTTCCAAGACAGACCTGTTGGTTCTTATGGCAGTCCATGGTATATTCAGTATTCTTTTCCAACACCATAATTCAAAGGCAGCAGTTCTTCTCCGGTCTTCCTTTTCATTCCCCAGCTTTCCCGTGCATATGAGACGATTGAAAATAACCATGGCTTGGGTCAGGTTGACCTTAATCCTCAAGGTGACATCTTTGCTTTTTAACACTTTAAAGAGGTCTTTTGCAGCATGTTTGCCCAATGTGATGTGTTATTTGATTTCTTGACTGCTGCTTCCATGGGCATTGATTATGGATCCAAGTAGAATGAAATTCTTGACAACTTCAGTCTTTTCTCCATTTATCATGATGTTGCTTATTGGTCTAGTTGTGAGGATTTTTGTTTTCTTTATGTTGAGGTATAATCCATACTGAAGACTGTAGTCTTTGATCTTCATCAGTAGGTGCTTCATGTCGTCTTCACTTTCAGCAAGCAAGGCTGTGTCATCTGCGTATCGCAGGTTGTTTATGAGTCTTCCACCAGTCCTGATGCTGCATTCTTCTTCATATAGTCCAGCTTCTCAGATTATTTGCTCAGCATACAGATTGAATAAGTATGGTGAAAGGATATAACCCTGACGCACACCTTTCCTGATTTTAAACCACACAGTATCTGCTTGTTCTGTTCAAAGGCATACTTTGTGCATACCTCCAAAATTATGGCATTTATTTCATAGTATTGTATCTCCATGAACTATAAGCTTCTGTGTATTCCCAGCTCTTAGCATAACTTCATAAATATCTGTCTAATAGTTGAAATGCTTTTACAAACAAGTTCAACTGTTTCTCCTTTAAGTTGGATATATTTTTCAAAGTTAAATTAATTTTAAAAATACAGTAACTATTTATTTTCTTGGAATAACTACTTTATTTCAAATGGTATAGAGAAAGTACAGAAAAGTTTTCAGTGAAAAGTAAATATTCCTTCCTCTTCTCCCCCCCCACCCCCAGTTACCTAATTCCCCTCCCTAGTGGCTACTCCTCTGTATTAGTTATCCATTACCATAATAATGCTGTGTAACAAACAACCACAAAACTTTGGTGGTATACAACAAACCAAAAAAAAAAAAAAAGACCCATTGCCGTCTAGTGGATTCTGACCCATAGCGACCCTATAGGACAGGGTAGAACTGCCCCATAGGGTTTCCAAGGAGCAGTTGATGGATTCGAGCTGCCAACCTTCTGGTTAACAGCTGAGTTCTTAACCACTATGCCACCAGGGCTCCAACAATATACAACAATAAACATTTATTTAGCACACAAATCTATGGAGTTCAGCTGAAGTGGGGTGGGCAGGGCTTGCTTATACATCTGCGGTAAACTATGGGTCAGCCAAGCAACTCTGCTGGACTCACTCACATGTCTGGGGGTTAGCTGGCTGTTAGCTACTCTGGATGGTCTCATCTGCTCCACTGAGGTAATTTGGCTCTGTTCCATATTTCTCAATCACCTGAAGGCTAGTCTGGACATATTCTTCTCCTGGCAATTACCTGGCAATTGCAGAGGGCCAGACCAGTCACACAAGTACCTTTCAAGTCTCAGCTTGCATCACATTTGTTAATATCACATTGGCTAAATCAAGTCACATTGTTGAACCCAGAGTCAGAGTGGGAAAGCACTGCAGAGTACATGGCTACAGGGAGGGGTGAAGAATTGGGCCATTGATGTACTCTGCCACACCATTTTTCCAGTTTCTAAACATATATAAGTAAATACCTACGAGTACTTTAAGGAAAAAAAAAAATGATAGCATACTATTCATATTTCTAATACTTTGTTCCCTCGCCCTTTATTATTTATTTCTGTTAATACATGATTTCTTATCATCAGGTGTATCCTCCTGAAGAAGATGAAATCGGAATCTTAAGCCATAGTTACCCCTTCACCTCAAGCTGGAGGAGCCTTCTGAATTATTTAATCCCAGAATGGCTTCAACAGAGGAACAGGATTTAAGATTGTGAAGGTGGAGGAAGACCCTATCTGGGATGAAGAAACGTACCTTCAAAAGAACAGTTTTTCTGGCCAAGAGGCTTCCCACCAACTTTTTAGGCAGTTTTGTTACCAAGAGACTCCTGGTCCCCGAGAAGCACTGAGCCAGCTTCGGGAGCTCTGTCGTCAGTGGCTAAGGCCAGAGACCCACACCAAGGAGATCCTGGAGTTGCTGGTTCTGGAGCAATTCCTGACCATCCTGCCTGAGGAGCTACAGGCCTGGATGCAGGAGCACCATCCAGAGAATGGGGAGGAGGCAGTGGCTGTGGTCGAAGATCTGAGTGAGAGCTCAGTGAGCCAGGGAAACAGGTGAGCGGAGGCAAATGGGATCCGAGACGTCAAATACTAAATTAAGGGTGAAGTTTGGTGATACAGGTTGGTTGGTTAAGCCACATGTATTAACTATTACCCCCAAACCTTAATGGCTTAAAACAACAAACATTATCTTAAACAGTTTCTGTGAGTTTGGAATTTGGGAGTTACTTAGCGGGGTCTCTCGTGAGGTTATAGTGAAGATACCAGCCAAAACTACAGTCATCTGAAGATCTGACTGGGCCTGCTGCATCCACTGCCAAGATGGGTCACCTATGTGGTGGTTGGTGGGGGGCCTCACTTCCTTTGTGGCTGTTGGAAAGATGTCTTAGTTCTTTGTTATGTAAGTCTGTCTGAAGGGCTGCTGGAGTGTCTTCATGGCATGCCAGTTGGCTTCTCCCAAAATGATTGCAAGAGAGAAAACAAGATGGAGCCACAATGCTTTTTTATTCTCAGAAGTTATATACTATTACTTCTGCCACACAATCTATTAGCATAAGTGAGTCAGTAAGTACAGCCCATACTCAAAGAGCAGGAAATTGGGCTCCACCTTTCGAAGAGAGGAGTATCAAAGAATTTGTGGACATATTTTAAACCATGACACCATGTTTGGCCACTCTTGCTCTGCCTCTTCTGCTCTTGAGTATGGAATGAAACTCTGGTCCTTCTACTGTGCCATCTCTCTAAAGTATGTTTCATGTGGTTCCATATGATCTCTTTCATTGAGTGTTAGCTTAGACACCTGTAGTCCTTCTCTTATGAACCCAAATATACCTACCTGCTTCCAGGCCCCAGATCATGAACATGGACATTCTGAAGTGCTGTCAGAGGATGTGATGCATCTGAAGGCCAAGCAGGAGTCAACAGTCATATAGTTTCAGTCCATCATGACCCAGCTCAAATGTGACTCTTTCAGGCCCCACCAATTTCGAGAACAAGGTAAGAACTATGACAGGTCCATTCAAGGGATCTCTGATGGTTCTCTATAGAGGCCAAACTGCCTTGGTTGGAATTTACGCACTGCTACTTACTATTTCTGTGACATTGGACAGGTCATTTAACCGCCCTGTGCCGTCAGTTTACACACCTGTAAAATGGGGATAATCATAGTGCTTCAGTTATAGAGTCATGTAAAACACTAAAAACATTCCTGGTTTGTAGTAAATGCTCTATAATACCAGCTTGTGTACGTCCTATGGGTGCTTCACCTTCTCTGGATGATCCTCTCCAGCCATTTCAGCAGTCCTGATGATTCCTTACTCTGCTAGTTTTAATATCCCTGTTTAATTACTCCTTACATTACACTGCCATTCCTAGAATGTGTGTGTTTGATGTGGTTGTTTTCTTTCATAAAGAAAAGAGATGACACTGCTTTGTTCATTTATTATTCCAGATGGTGAAAGTATACCCGAAAATCAGGAGTTGGCACCAAAGCAAGAAATCTTAAAAGAAATAGAATATTTTGGGGATCTATCTAGCAGACTTCAAAGAGATGTTCCTCTGGATTCTAAGTACAGAAAAACTGGCAGACATGAGAGCAAGGTAGAAAAGCAGCAGGGACACTCTAGTGGAGAGAGACATCACAGGTGCAATGAATGTGGGAAAAGCTTCACTCAGAGTTCAGTCCTTATTCAGCACTAGAGAATCCACACTGGAGAGAAGTCATATGAATGTGAAGAGTGTGGGAAGGCCTTCAGCCAGAGGTCAGGCCTCAATGAGCATCAGCGGAGCCACACTGGAGAGAAACCCTATCACTGTAAGGAGTGTGGGAAAGCCTTCAGTGCCAGCAGTGGCCTCATTCGACACAGAAGAATCCACACGGGAAAAACCATATGAATGTGAAGAGTGTGGAAAAGCCTTCTGCCTTAGCTCATACCTTGTATAGCATCAAAGGATACACACTGGACAGAAGCACTATCAGTGTAACAAGTGTGGCAAAGCCTTCAGTCAGAATGCAGGGCTCTTTCAGCATCTTCGAATTCACACTGGTGAGAAACCCTATCAGTGCAGTCAGTGCAGTAAGAAATTTAGTAGGCGAACACTCCTTATGAAACATTAGAGAAGTCACACTGGAGAGAGACCATATGAGTGTGATGAGTGTGGGAAAGCCTTCAGCAATCATTGCAACCTTATTAGGCATTTTAGGATCCATACTGTTGCTGAACTGAACTGAGTCCATTGACTCCCTGACCATCTTGGAGAGTAAGATTTTCAAGTGGCTAATTCTGCTTGCACCAAATTTAATTTGCTTTGGAATGAGTAACTTGACTGCAAACCAGGTGCTGGAGTCTACTGGGTGGATGACTGTGTGTGTGGGACGTTGCTGAGCATCCTCCCAGTCCCTATCCCTTGGTTCTTTTCAAATGATTTTCCTTAAAGGGACAAAGTCCTACATGGAAATAAATTGGTATGGAGGGGCTGTTCTTGAGTAATACCACCCTCAGGGAGCTTACATTTTAGTGGCAGGGGTGGAGGGAGACAGAAAATAAATGTGTAATATATCAGATGCTAATAATTTCTGATAAAAAAGCAGAGTGAGAGAGATAGAATGTACCAGGGTGGAGGTGGAGGGAGTTACTATTTTATGTAGGAAGACCAAGAAACCTGAAGGAAGAGAGGGAGTCATACAGATGTTTGAGTGAAGAACGTTCCCCCAGGCAGAGGGATCAACAAGTACACAGGCTGAGGTGGGAATGTTCTGGCTGTTTGAAGAATAGCACAGAGTCCATTATGGCTGGAGCAAAGTAAGTGAAGTGAAGAAAGGCAGAAAATAAAAGGGCAATATGAAGGAGTTTCATTGGTGGCACAGTGGTTAAGAGCTCGGCTGCTAATCTAAAGGTCAGCAGTTCCAACCCACCAGCTGCTTCTTGGAAGCCCTTTGGGGCAGTTCTACTGTCACTATGAGTCAGAATTGACGGCAATGGGTGTGTGTGTGTGTATGAAAGAGTCAGATTATGTAGAGCCACTTTAGGATCCTACCAGCAAATACAAGAGCTTTAGCTTTTACTCTGACATAAGAAGCCATTGAAGGGTTTTGATCAGAGAAATAATCTGGCTTATATTTTAAAGGATCACTCTAGGTGCTGTAATGACAACAGACTGTAGGGGAAGATGGAGGAGTGGAGAAAGCAGGGAGTCTGGATAGATTATTGCAATAATCCAGGTAAGAAATGATGGTGGTTTGAAACAGAAGAACAGTGGTAGATGAAAGAAAAGTGTGTAAATTCTGCATATCCCTTGAATATGAGAGCACATGTTTGCACATGTGTTGGATATGAGTGTGAACAAAAGAAAGATGAATCCAAGGCTTTTAGTTTAATCAACTATCTTAGGCTGGGTTCTGTAGAGAAGCAAATCCAGTAAAAGGTATAAATATATAGAGAGATTTATAGCAAGGAAATGGCTCATGCAGTTGTAGAGGCTGGAACGTCCCAAGTACGTGGGTCAGGATAGTCTTCTGATTCACGCAGCCGCAGGGGCTAGCAAACTGAAGATTGGCAGACAAAAAGGCAGGTAAGCTGCTAGCTCAAGTCCCAAGAACCGGAGGTCTGATGAACAGGAGCCAGCTGCAGGATCTAGAGCGAACTAAAGCTCAGTCTTGCCAGAAAGTCCACTTATATATTTGATGCAGACCACACCCCCAAGGAAACTCCCTTTCAACTGATTGGCTACTCACAGCAGATCCCATCCTGGAGGTGATCACATCATACAACTGCCAAATTACATCATAACTGCCAAGCCACTGGCAATCTTGGCCCAGCCAAGTTGACACATAACCATAATGATCACAGCGACTAAGAATGAAGCTGAAATGGGAAGTCTGGGGGGGAAGGAGGTTTGGGGGTGAGATCAGGAAAATTTGGTTTTGGACTCATTAAGTTTGAGATGTCTGTGGAGATGTCAAGTACAGAAAGCACTGGGTATATGAATCTGGAGTTCATAGTGCTATATGAAGTCATGTGAATGGGTGGTTATCACTTGAGGAATGCGTGTAGAATGGTAAGGGAAGTTCAAAGACTGAGCTCTGAAGTACAGCAAGCATTTGGAGGTCAGGGAAATGAGCAAGAGAAACCAGCATAGGAGACTATAAAGGAGCAGCCAAGAGGTAGAAGAATCAAGAGAAGAACCAAATGAAGAAAGTATTTCAAGAAGGCAGTGATTAACTGGGTCAGTTGCTGCTGATAGGTCAAGAAGAGGATTGAGAATTGATTGGTTATTGGAGCTCCTCTAGTATCTCAGACTGTTTTGTTTTATGGTGTACTGACTAGTTGTTAGAGAAAGAATAAGAGGAAACGTGAAGAACAGCTAATAGCAACTCTTTGAAGGATCCTGTAAAGGGATCAGAGATACGGATTAATAGGTGGAAGGAGATGTTGAGTCAAAGAACTTTGTTTTTAAAATAGAAGTTACTACAGAATATTTGTGTGTAGATGGGAATGATCTAGTAGGACGGAAAAACTCGGCCTGTAACGAGCAACTTTCCAGAGCCCCTCTGCCTCTAAGACAGTGTTGAAGCTAGGATCCAGCCCCGCGTGGTGGAAAGTGGGGGCAGGAATGGGTGTCTTCTGGTAAGGCCATTCCAAGCTTTGTAGATACCAGACTCTCCATCACTTGAAATCAGAAAACAGCCCACTTTAGTGATGTGAGTAGTTCATGAGTAATATCAGATCAATTACAAACTTGTTTTCTTTGAGCATCTGAGTGTGGAACATGTGAATCTGACTCTACTACACCTGGCTTACATTTCCACCACCAAAAAGCAAACCAGTTTCTGAGTCAATTCCATCTAATGGCAACTCTGTGTGTGCAGAATAGAACTGCACTCCAGTGTTTTCAAGGCTGTGATCTTCCAGAAGCTTTTTTTCCAAGTTGCCTCTGGGTGGGTTCAAACTGCTAGTCTTTCGGTTAACCATCTGCGCCACCTACAGCTATGCACATAATAGACATTCTTCTTGAAAGAACTCAAGCCTGTCCACGTCTTCCAGCGAAGAGTGGACTGTAAATGTTAGGAAGTAAAAGGCAAGGGATTGCAGCTAATACCCCCCAAAATGGGGTGAATCTGGCTTCTCTTTAACTTTTGGACTAATTCACCAATACTAGGTGTCAACACTAAAGAGTCAGAGTTCACATCTGGTATTTCTCCTTGGGTTATCTATTACTGATGACCTTAATCCTGGACTCACTTATCTCCTTAGTTGATTTCAACAAGGGATTAATGGGCTTTATGTCGACCTAACTCTACCGCTATTCTTTCTTCTCATAACTGACTTCATGTCTCTTCAGTTTTCTTTACTCTTTTGACTTCTGTGGTCAACTCCCAAAGTTACAATGGGACATGCCTTTCATTTCAATATTCAAAGGCACTGCTTCACCTCTTTCTCCTTAACAGTGCTCTGTTTCAACATTGGTGCCCTTCTTGTCTACACAGTCTGATCCAGTTTTACACCAGTGCTGAGTTCCTCAGCCTCTTAATACCTACATTTTATTTAGATCATCCTTACCTCACAGGCTTTGTCTATTTTTAGACTACAGATTCTGTACCATTCTATGGTTACTGTGACATTGCCTGCATTTTTAAAATGGCATTCTCCAGGAACAATTTAAAAAAAAAAGAGGCAGAATTCATTCTTTAAATGCACAAAATAATCAATTCAACAAATAAATGATTTTCCACAACTATGACATCAAAATTGGACATAGAAAAAGGTACCACTTGAATTCAACATTTTTAAAGATAACTTTTAACATTACTTGTTGTAATACTCTTTGAAACTATACAAATGTCTGATTTTTAAAATCTTAATTACTTCATGATTTCATTACATACATCAGGTTTGCTTTGGGGTGTACAATCTAATGTGTAGTTATGACTTTTTTATAACTTGTTAAGGTCTGCACTGTGTCCATTTTATCTGCCTTAATCTGACAGATTAGCATTGTGTTCCAAGTAGAAATGTGCAACACATCTCCGAAAATCCAAGAGGTCTAGAGAAGCACCGGGGTTACATGCTCTGTGTAGCTGCCATGCATTGTTCATGGCTAGGTCAATCATGTAACTTACCAAAATTGAGTACCATTTCTTGCTTCTTATCCTCACCCTATATTTGGAAATGATTTGATCCATTTTAGCTACACCTTCCCTGCATTCATCATACAGTTTCACTATGGATGGCTGACTTATCTGAAGGATCTCTTCATCATCGGTAAAACAACTTATTTCATTCACTGGTTCTATGCCTACAGCATTGGAGCACAGACTGATAATGCCATCACCATGCCAACGACACAACATTATCTCCTCATTTTCCTCTACTTGGAAATCGAAATACCCCTTCTTCATTTTTTTCATGTGTTCTGCATCCATAAGGGGACATTTTTCAGTCCTGTTTTCACGAATTGCTCCTGTTGCCCTCAGTCCCTTCTTCTTCAAGGCTGACATCAATTTGACACTTGTAAAGAAGCTATCAAAACACAGATGATAGGGATATTGACCTCTCTCTAAAAGAACATCAGCGAAGTTCATCACTAGATTCCCACCTATACCAAGATCAAGATCTTTATCTGCCGTCACAGTTGATTGTTCTTGATAGGGCTCAAACCAAACCAGATAACCTTGTGTGGTTGTACCACACCAAATTTTATAGCCAATTCTAGTAGGCTTTCCATTCAGGCAGTGGTCACTATCAAAGCATTCACACATGGACTTATCAAAGCAATAGTATTCTTCTAGGGGAGCATACAAGAGGAAATTTTTATTCATTTGCTTTATGAGAGGCCTCAATTTTGTAAACTTATCTTTTTGGTCTAGGTGGCTATTATCTGCAAAATGTAGGTATGAGAAAATCGATTCAAATCTATCTCTTCTAATTGCATCTCTAACCAGGTTCTTATCGGCATCAGAGATTTCCCAATACATTCCCCTTCTAGGACGTCTCACAAATCCACTCAAAAGCAGGACACCAAACACACACTTCATTTCCTGAACTGTGACTTCCAAGTTGACGTTTTTCTGAGAAGCATAATTATTGGTTTCATTGACAACCAAGTTGAAAGTGTCATCATCAAAAAATAATTCAAAGAGCTCAACTGGGTTCAACTTTTCATTCTTGAGATTCAAAAGCCCAGAATCCAGTGCTGACCAACTTGGGAAGCTGGGTTTAATGTCTCTTTTGATCCAGTTCTTCTCTGGGACACTTGACACCTTCAGCTTCTTTTGAGCAGGCTGGGTCTCAGGCTCATTGTCTTCCTCCACATCTGAGTCACCAGAAAATGTGAGGCCTTGGAGCAGTTCACTCACCCGAGCTTTGTCTTTTTTTCTCCCTTTACGGGTAATGTCTCCTGCAGCATATTCCAAAGATGAAATGTGCATCTGGGCCCACAAGTCACCCAGGTGACGGTCTTTCAGAGTGTTCAAATGTGCAACTGTCCTTTTAGGGGCAGGAGTACAAGAGATCTGGGGTATACAATCCCTGGAAAAGAAAGAACAATACATGCTATAAAATACTCAGTCTTATTCTTTCATACATGATAAACCCTCTGAAGCCTAAGTCTTCTTTTGCAGGGATTACTTCTCACATTTGAGAAGGGACATCATGTATGGTAGAGGGTCAGGGAAAACCAAAATCCAATGAGTTGTACTGAGACAATAGCAACAACAATGGGTTCAAACATACCAACAATCATGAAGATGGCACAGGATCAGCCAATGTTTTGTTCTGTTATATATAAGGTCACCATGAGTCATCAACCAACAATTCATGATTCCATGGGGAGGACTTCAGCTACACTTAACATTTTTAGCTTCGTTCCCCACCTCTCACTCACTCCTCATGACTCAACTACTTGTTGAATCTGGGAGAAGAACTAGGCACCCTTCGTGCAGACCCTCTCTGTCTTCTTTAGGAGCAGGATGCAGACATTACCTGCTCCTTTTTGCTTAAGTTCTGTCAGGCAGGCCTATGCCAGAGGAGGTCTGCTGCACTCCAGCTCTGCTAGTAGGAACCCATGTAGCTCTGCCTCTGAGCTGTTTCATCTAGCCTAGCTTCTGTCAGTAAGAAAGCTGAGGTTTCCAGCACCATCTTTTTAATTCTAGAAATTTGCATTTCATTTACTATGTCTAATCAGTAAACTAGTTTTAAAAGACATTAAGGGAAAAAAAGCACTGAAAAGAGTATGTTTTAATATAATTTATACTACATATATTTATTTATTTACTTAAAAGAGTTTATCATCCTGCATGTTGTCAATGTCCACATGTAAGACCCATTCAACATATCCATCTTAGAGTTCTCTGACACCCTCAACTTCAAGGACATTCCTTGAATCCTGCCATTATACTGACCCTTTTCACTCATTGCTGAAATCTAAACTCTAGTAGCTCATTCTTTATTCTCAATTTCTTTTCACTGTAGCCTCTTTATTCTTTTCATCCCATGATACCTGTTCTTTCTTCTCACTCTCACCCTTAACATTCTCTCTTGTGAAACCCCATGACCTACCACATTAGCCACTCTTTTACCAGGATCATCAACCACCCTGCCCCAGCGTCCACCTGTATTATCTGACCAGTAAAACTTCAGCATCAGATCAATACTCTTGTTGGCCTTCTCTGTTCCTCATCCAA